AAATAAATAAATAAATAAATAAATTATAAATCCAATCTCTAACAGCTATAGGACTATAGATTTTCTATTTCTTATGTTATTTTTAATAAATTGTGTTACTCAAGGAATTTGTCCATTTCATCTGCCATGCTTATTAGTGTAAAGCTGTTCCCAGTATTTTTTCGTATTCTAATATCTGTAGGATCTGTAGTGATGTCCCCTTAATTCTTGATATTTATGATTTATGTCTTCTCTTTTTTTCCTGATCAGTCTTTCAAAGGTTTTATCAATTCATCTTTTTAAAGAATCAAGTTTTGACCTTGTTAATTTTCTGAATTGTTTCCCATTTCATTAATCTATACACATATATTCATTATTTTCTGTCTTCTACTTACTTTGGATATGATTTGCTTTTCTTTTTCTAGCTTTTTAAAGTGGGAGCTTAGACCATTGATTTTAGACCATTTTTTTCTATAAGTATTTAAAGTGATAAATTTCCCCCTAAGCATATTTAGCTGTATTTCACAAATTTTAATATATTTTTTCCTTTGTCCTTTGGTTAAAAATACTTTGTTCAGTTTCCAATTTCTTTGTGGCTTTTCTAAATATCTTATTGTAAACAATTAAATCTCTTGTCAGGTAAAATATTCTGTATTATTTCATTTCTTTTAAATTTACTGACATTTAAATTATGGCCTAAATTTTACTCTGTCATAGTGAATGTTCCATGTACTTGTGAAAATATATGTGTTTTTCAGTTGTTGGGGGTAGTAACCCAGGAATGTCCTATTAGGACAAATTGATAGCATTGCTCAAATCTTCCATTTCCTTAAGGACTCTTTGTCTATTTGTTCTATCAATTACTGAGAGAGAGTTGTTAAGATTTCCAGCTATGGGTGGTGTTGTCTATTTCTCCCCTTAGTTCTGTTATTTTTGTCTTTATATTTTGTAGCTCTTTTACTAACAGTATACAGATTTGGAGTTGTTATATATATATATTTTTTAAAGATTTTATTTATTTATTTGAGAGAGAGAGAATGAGAGAGAGCACATGAGAGGGGGGAGGGTCAGAGAGAGAAGCAGACTCCCTGCCGAGCAGGGAGCCCGATGCGGGACTCGATCCAGGGACTCCAGGATCATGACCTGAGCCGAAGGCAGTCGCTTAACCAACTGAGCCACCCAGGCGCCCTGGAGTTGTTATATTTTTGTTGATGAATTGGCCCTTTAAGCATCATGATACAACACTCTATCTGTAATAATACTTTTTGTCTTAAGGTCTACTTAATCTGATATTATCTGATTAATATCAGATAAGTCTGATATTAATATAACTATACCAGGGGCTCCTGGGTGGCCTAGTTAGGTGGGCATCCAACTCTTGATTTTGGCTCAGGTCATGATCTTGCGGCCATGAGATTGAGCCCACATGGGGCTTTGCACTAGGTGTGGAGCCTGCTAAAGATTCTCCCTCTGCCTCTGCCCCACCCACCCCTCTCTCTTAAAAAAAAAAAAAAATATATATATATATATATCTCATATATATATATGTCCCCACACCATCTTTCTTATCAGTGTTTGTGTTTTATGTCTTTTTCCATCCTTTAACGTTCAACCTGTGTCTTTGTATTTAAAGTGCCTACCTTGTAAGTAGTGTTTAGTTGGATCTTGCTTTTTAATCTAGACAATCTTTGCCTTAAACTCTTTAGGGGCACCTGGGTGGCTCAGTCATTAAGCGTCTGCCTTCCACTCAGGTCATGGTCCCAGGGTCCTGGGATCAAGCCCCACATCAAGCTCCCTGCTCCACGGGAAGCCTGCTTCTCCCTCTCCCACTCCCCCTGCTTGTGTTCCCTCTCTCGCTGAGTCTGTCAAATAAATAAAATCTTAAATAAATAAATAAATAAATCTCTTTAGTCCAATATTATTATTGATATAGCTATGTTTAAGAGTTTCATCTTGCTATTTGCTTTCTGTTTGACCTCATTTTTTTCATTCCTTTTTGTGGGGTTAATCAACTATTTTTCAAATATTCCATTCTGTATCCTCTATGGTTTTTTTAGCTTATGTGTGAGAGACAGACAGAAACAGAAAAAGAGAGATTGTTCTAGGGAAGATTCAGGTTCACACTTGAACTAACAATTATTCTACCTGCAGTGGGCTAGGCACTGGGCTAAGCACAACTCTATGTGGTCAGTAGACTTATTTCTTTCAAGTTTCAAAAAAGTTGCTCCCTGGGTTATAGTATTCTAATGAAGTTCATTAAACTGAAAGTTAAACATGTTTCAGTTCAAATCCCAGCTCCACCACTTAAAAGTTCTGTCATCTTGGCCAATGTGTATATATTTTGTGAGCTTTAGTTTCCTTATCTATAAAACAAGAATGGATGTTTTAGTGCTACTTTATAGGATCACTATAGATATCACATGCAGTAATTTCTATAGATGTATTATGAAAACTGTAACTATAAACATGTTAAGATTTTTCAGGATTTTTTTTTTAAAGATTTTATTTATTTATTTGACAGAGAGAGACACAGCGAAAGAGGGAACACAAGCAGGGGGAGTGGGAGAGGGAGAGGCAGGCTTCCCACGGAGCAGGGAGCTCAACGTGGAGCTCGATCCCAGGACCCTGGGATCATGACCTGAGCCGAAGGCAGACGCTTATCGGCTGAGCCACCCAGGCGCCCCAAGATATTTCAGGATTTAATGAAAAGACTCATTTACTTTCCTTATACCTTTATAAATATATAAATTTCATTCCTATCTCCTCTATCATCTTTCAAAACTGAGAAACTTCTTTCTTTGGTACATTTGTTGTCTTCATGGTGTTTTCAGTTCTTTCCTTATACCCTCTCTAACTGTGATTAGAATGTACCCCTTCCACAACCACTGCATTAAGGCATAGTTCATTCTGCTCAGACTTCAAGACCCAATTAAAATAGCATGTCATTCATGACAACTTCCCACTCAGATTTACTCACTTGCTCTTCTGAGACCCTCGACTCTATTTTATCTCATCCTATTGTAACTATTTCTACACAGTCACTAACCTTACCTGACTAAAACTCCAGGGACTGTTTGGTTCATCTCAGCATTTCCAGTGTTGAGTATAGAGCCTGGTACAGAGTAAGTTCAGTAAATACCTCTTGACTGAATGAAAGGATAGAGATAGACAAATCAGGGAAGGAGAGCTTTTGTCTCCGAGCTTCAGTGCTGAGAGTGTCATCCCTTTACAGATACGTAATAGGTGAAGCCCAGTAGTTGGGCTGGTATTTACCAAACTCCCACTTTCCCATTTGCTGCAGTGGAAGCAATTCAGAAGCCACCGTCCTTTAATGTTGGATTAATGTCATTAAACACCTTATCTTTAATATCCCTGGGAGAATCTGACAAGACTTTATGGAGAGGGGCGCCTGGGTGGCTCAGTCGTTAAGCGTCTGCCTTCGGCTCAGGTCATGATCTCAGGGTCCTGGGATCGAGTCCCACATCGGGCTCCCTGCTCCGCGGAGAGCCTGCTTCTCCCTCCTCCCACTCCCCCTGCTTGTGTTCCTGCTCTATCTCTGTCAAATAAATAAATAAAATCTTTAAAAAAAAAAAAAGACTTTATGGAGTGACAGGTTTTAAAGCATCAACAGAAGTTCTTTTGAGTTAAGTGGGAAAGGAGCTCAGAAAAAGGTAGATTCTTATGAATCTCTCCACAGTCCAAATTTTGCCTTGGTATGCAAGTGCTTTCTTCTCCCACCCTCTTTCCACTCTCTCACTTGTTAAACTCTAGTCATACTGAACTACCTTTATTACTCCAGGTTTTTCTTTCCTCTGAGACTTTGTTCATGCTATTCCCTGTAGTCGGAATGCTTTGTTCCACTGATTTCCTTTAACCTGGCAAATTCCTGTTTGTCCTTTAGATCTCAGCTTACACCTTGGCTTACCTCCTGTGGGATGCCTTCCCTGACCATTTGCCCCGATCCTACAGGTCTGAATTAGGCGCTCTTTCTCTATGTTGACACAACGCCCTGAACTAATGTCCTTGTAGCACTTGTAAAACTATTGACATTTCTTTTTAGTCTCCTATTTAGCATTCCTTAGGGCACTGAATCTTCTATTATTCCCAGGGTCCTGAATGATGCTTGGCACAAAATAAACCTCAGTAAACATTTTCTCCGTGAATTAATGGGTGAATGACCAAATCCCACAAGAATGCTAACTGCAAAGAAAGGTTAAAAGAACAGGTAGCTGGTATACTTTCTCTTTCCACATCCAGCATTCTCCTGGTGTGCAGCCTGCAGATGTGGAGGAAGTTGTCAAGAAGGGTGTACAGACCCTTGTGATTGGCCGAGGGATGAGTGAGGCCTTGAAGGTAGGTATTGGTGAGCACAGCATTCCTGAGGACAGTTGGTAACCTCTTGGACCTTTACCTTAGAAATATGTCCTTCTTGGGAGCTCATCTCAGTATATCATGCACCCTCATTTTGCTGAGCCAGTGGATGGCCCAGGATAAAATAAGGGATGTTAGTACTCTTCCTCATCGGGGTTGGACTGTCCAGTCTCTGCCTTACCCTAGGCCTGTGTTGTTTCAACTATATTTCAGAAATTCTTCACTCCTGGAATTCTCAAGCTCTATAACTATCAATATTTGGTTCTTTAGATTTTCACAGTACTTCACATTTTTTTTAGTACTTCCCATTTTTATAGTACTTTTTATTCTTTCCTTGAACACAATCAAGTTATGTTTTTCCCCTTTTGAAAAAAATTTATTTTTATTGCACTTACAGAAATAATACATGCTTATTGCAAAACCGTTGATGCAGAAATGTTGAAGTAGAAAAGTGGAAGATCCCCACCCCCATCTCCACATTTGATGTTTACTGCTCCATGCAGCTGCAAATATATACTCTTAGGCGTACAGACATACATGTATACACTTAGAATCATTTTTACATAAATAGGATCACATCGTACGTATTTTCTGTAACTTCTTACTCATGTTATTACATTGTGAACAGTCCTTCACGTAAGTACAGAGAGATCTACCTCATTCTCTCCTTTATATAGATGTTCTAAAATCTACTTCCCTACCGATAAAGGTGCTCTTTATTTTTTGTTTAACCTATTTTTTCCCATTAAAATAATTCCTTTCTATAAGGCTATTGTTATTATAAAATTGTTCAAACATAGAAAAATATAGGGCATTTAAAAAATATTTCAGAGCTCCTTCTGAGGCAGAATCTAATTAAAGTCAATTTAAAATAATATTCAGCACAAGCCAGAGTTAAAAAAAATATCCAATAACAGCTGCCACTATTGAGAATCTTTTATATAAATTAATTTACAAACATTCATTCAGTGCCTTCTATGGGTCAGACACTCTTCTAGGCACTGAGACAAGATAAAAGACAAACAACGGTCATGACCGTCTTGGAAAATTAAACAGTAGACAATTTCAGATCGCAACAAATGCTGTGAAGACAGACTTATGAGGGGCTGCTCTAAATGGAGCAGTCAGGAAAGGCCTTTCTGAGGAGACATTTGAGCTGCGGTATCCATACATTAGTTAACTTCATCCTCACACCACCCTGTGTGTATTTTTATCCCCATTTTATAGAGAAGGAAACTGGGGTTGAGAAACTTTAGATAGCTGGCCTACATGGCAAAGTTAGACTTTAGACTCAGGTTGGACTGACTCAGACGTTCACATTTACATGCTAGATGTTTTCTGTACCTTAGCTGAATTAGTTTTCATACTAGCCCTGTAAGCTAGGTATCATTATTCCTATTTACAGCCATGGAAACAAAGGGTCAGAGAACTGAATTCACTTACCCACGGTCACACTGCTAAGATTTAAATCCTCTTCCCATGTCCATTTCACCTGAACTTTGTGCATGCATGATGCTTCTGTCAACTTCTTAGAAGCCTTTCTGACTCCTTGGGGGCTCCCTGTCAAGTTTTGGACTGGTGACACACTGGGTGATCGAGTAGTGACTGTTATCATTGTCTAATTTTGTAGAGAACCCTTGCCTCATGTCAGGAAAGGAAACCCAGGAGGGCCTTTCCCCTGACTTATCTTTTTCCCTCTTCCCAGGTGCCTCCATCCACTGTGGAGTACCTCGAGAAACAAGGCATTGATGTGCGGGTCCTCCAGACAGAGCAGGCAGTGAAGGAGTATAACGCCTTGGCTGCCCAAGGCATCAGAGTGGGAGGGGTCTTCCATTCCACATGCTGATGGAGCCTTAAGGAGAATAAATCACTAAGCAACAATGCCTGTGATCATCACTCTTAGCATCTCCACACCGGCCTCCCCAAACATTTTTCAACAGCTGTTCACGCCAGATCCTGTGCTAGGCTTTAGGATGCATGATAACTAAGGCCAGGTCCCTGAGGGGAACTGAAAATCAGGGGAGAAGACAGATGTATATAATACATCTAACTAAATGTTAGGCCAGAAATATGAGGAAATAAAGGCAAAAATTAAGCCTTCTGCTTTGAAGGCCAAGGAAAAGTTTCAGAGCATTAAAATTATATTGCAATTGAAGCTTTGGAATGTTTACCCATTAATTCAACCAAGTTTTATTGAGTACCTTATATGTCAGACACTGCCATAGACTCCAGAGAAACAGCAACAAAAGTCTTATCCTCACAAAGCTTATATTCTTTTTTTTTCCTAAAATTTTATTTATTTGACAGAGAGACACAGTGAGAGCAGGAACACAAGCAGGGGGAGTGGGAGAGGGAGAAGCAGGCTCCTGGCTGAGCAGGGAGCCTGATGCGGGGCTTGATCCCAGGACGCTGGGACCGTGACCTGAGCCGAAGGCAGATGCTTAATGACTGAGCCACCCAGGAGCCCCACAAAGCATATATTCTAGTGGAGAAAAGAAACAGTAAATCCATAGTGTAAGTAGAACCTGTTATGAAGAAAAATAAAGCAGAATAAGAAGACAAAGGGTAAAGAAGGCTATTTCAGGTATGTGGTCAGGAGAAGTCTCTGCAGATGGCCAATGAGCGGAACCCTGAGTGAAGTGACGGAGCACTCCAGTAACAGCAACAGAAGGAGCTTGGCCCTGATACTCTGGGTTCTAGGCAAGCTGTTCTACTAGCTAAACCTGAGCCTAGCTGGACCGTTCTCCCTGAGCCGCAGATTCTCTTGCTCTAAAATGATGGGGCTAGACTAGATGCTGTGTAACCACCATGGATAGTCTTTGTTCTGTTAAATACCAGCTATCTTTTGCGAAGCCTTAGAATAGACAGAACTCTAATAAATTATAAACATCACCTTAGTTTTCATTCCTCCCCCTCTTTAAAGAGGAGTATGGGCTTTGGTGTCAAATAGCCTTGACTTTGAACTGTGGCTTTCTGCCACTCGATGGTTGGGCATTTATTTAATCTCTTAGAGTTGCAGTATTCTCATCTGTCAGATAGGGATAATAGTACTTGGAGTTATTTTGTAGGTATTAAATGGGGTGATTCATACAATGTCTTAGCACACTGCTTGGCATGTAGTGAGGACTAAGTTGAAGCCATTGTTGTCATTGTATTTTGATTAACGGGTCTGCTGTGTGTCAACTAGTTTCATGTTATGGTTCGTAACATATGGTTCGCAGCCTATTTCACAGATTTGTAGAATGCTGGAGCCCAAAGGAATTATGGACTCTATTCTCTCGTTTCTCTTTAATGCCCATTTACTGAGTCCGCTAATTTTTTATGGCTAGTTATTGCTGGGCCCTGGGAGTATGGGAATGAGTAAGTTATAATTCCTGCCCTCAGGAGTTACGTGAGAGAGAAAACAGACAATGATATAGTGTGTTAACATTATAATAGTTACAAGGTCCAATGATGGCCTAAAGGATGGCCTAATCCTACCAGGATGGAAGGGAAAGTAAGGAAGACATCACGAAGACCATGACACAAGCTGAGTCTTAAGAATAAGGTGTTTGTTTATTCACCAAACAAATATTTGGCAACTTTTAAACATTTACTAAGTATTTATCGCAGCCATAATCAATACCCCAGCCCTTGTTGAAGCCACAGCCCCAGAAAGCTGGTTTTTGCTCCGTGAGATCCTGTTACCTCCTTGGCTCAGATGGGCATCTGACAAGGCGGCCAATCCCCAGACTGAACAGCAACTTAAGATGTGGCTTGGCAAGAAAAGGTGAGCTAAGACCAATGGAATGGAAAGTGAAGGGATCTTTCCAAGTTCTGCCAAGGAAGTGGCAGAGCCAAGATTAGAACCTGATGCTGTGTCTTGATGTCCTCCTACTATACACCTCCTTAAAAGGCCTATTGGAGTGGGGCACCTCACTGGCTCAGTCAGTAGAGCATATGACTCTTGATCCCAGGGTTGTGAGTTCAAGCTCCACATTGGGCGTAGAGTTTACTTTAAGGAAAAAAAGGGAGGGGTTTGTGGGAGTAAGATCCTCACAGACCTGACTCCCAGCCTGGAGGTCTGGGGAAGTCCTGCTTAGTGCTCTTTTTGCAACCAGCCATTTGACAGGTACAGGATCTTTCTAGATCTCAGCTCAGAAAGCTGAGGCACCTATGTAGCTAGGAGAGTATTTGATGAAATTCAGACTGTTTCTCTATTGATGCAATCAACTTTTTTTTTTTTTAAGTGAAATGTAAAGGGAGACATTTCCAGTGGGTGTTGAACTGGGTGTGGGTGTAATCAGTGTTCCTAAGTGAGTTGTCTCCACATTAGAGAGAACTTAGTATGAACTTCTTAGAGACAGAAGTATCTGGCAATGAGATCATTAAACTTTGTATAGAACCTGCTAATAGCTCCTATTTCTGAATCTGTTCTACATGGTCATTGCTGGAAATGTACAGAACCTGGAGAGAAGCTGTTTTTCCACATGACACTACACTTAGTCCTATGTCTTAATCACTAAGCCCTTTGATTTGATTTGTAAGTAGCACAGCCCTCACTCTGCCCACACTTAATTTCTTCTAGCTTGAGTGGTTCTAAGACAAGAATTCTACCAAGTGCTTTCTGTGCACCCTATAATTCTGTTTGCAGAAGTCAATCATGTCAAAGCCAAATATAAAGTCCTTTTGGAAACCTGAATCCCAGGGCTGGCTTTTGCAGGCATGCCATGGTACTGCTAAGTTTGCTCTGGATTCATAGACTCATTCACTCTTTCCCTGCTTGGTATGTGCTGGGGATACCACACACGTTTCTTGTTGTGCAGGGACTCAGATTAGTTGGAAGAGACAGACGTAAACATGCAGTGACGGTACTGACATTGCAACCTGCCACAAATCTACCTAGAGAGCTGTTTTGTCTGTCTCAGAATAATTTTAACATTTATTTCGCATTTATTTTTTAATTGGATATTTTTTTACATGAAAATGCAGATTTCTGGCTCTTCTGGAAGAACCAGAAGATCCGATACCACCAGGCCCACACTTAGAAACCACTGAGCAGAGCTGAATAGCAGCTACCTTCTGACCTGACTGAAGAGAATGGAAGTCTCTCTTACCTTCCTGCAGTCCACCTGACTCTTTTCCTGCCTTTCTTTAAAAAAGGTTTCCATTTGTGAACCTGCCACAAATACTTAAATATGCCTCAAGAACATATAAGAGGCTGTCAGAACACGGAGGCAATGAGCCAAGCCCACAAGAGACACAAGATACGTTCCAGAATGAGGCTCAGTCCTGGAGAATGAGGAGCCATAGGAGACACTCTGAGGAACATATTCCAGGGCTCAGCAGGTCCACAGGTCTGAGACAAGACAGCATGGTGAGCGTTGGGCACAACTACAGGATTCTCTCTTGGCCAGAGAAGTACACAGAACGTGTGGCACACGCAGAAGGCTGGAGATGACAGAGGCATGAAGAGCCTTCAAGAACAGGACTTTAGACTATCCTGGAACCAGCAATGGGCCACGTTTTGACATGGGACTTCAGCAGGGGAATGGCAGAAGGAGATCTGGGTTTTAGAAAGATCACTCTGCTAGCTGTGTGAAGAATGGACTGAAGGTAGCAAGATCTGAGGCAAGATCTTTAGGAGGCTAATGCCACATTTTAGGAGGGATGATGGTAGTCTGCACTGGGATAGAAACAGTATGAGAAGAGGATGAGTCAAGAAACATTTAAGGAAGCAGAATCTAAAGGGCCTGATGGCTGTGTTTATCTGAGGGGTGCAGAAGGAGTCCAGTGTGACACACAGGTTTCTGGCTTTGACTGCTGGGCACATGGGAGACCACTTACACAGAACAACAGATCCATTACGGAAACCGTGTTGGACTAAGAATCAGGAGGCCTGGGTTCCAGCCTTGGCTTTACCATGAATTCAGTCCCATAGTTCCTAGAATCTGATCATTCAGGGTCAAAGGAATTTAAAAGGTTGAGTCCAATCTCTTAGAGGATACTTGAATTCCTTTGCAAGAAACTTGTCAGGGAGCTTGTTGAACCTCTGCTTAAACACATCCAACATGGACAATTTATCTCCTAATGCAGCTCAAAAAAACTTATCTTGATACTAAGCCAAAATCTGCCCCTTAGTGTGTCTCTACCTTTGGTGGAAAAAAATACTCCATTTTGGGTGTTAAGACCTAGGATAAAGTCCTGGCGTTGCCCCTTAGGAGAAAAACATTACCTCAAAACCTCAGTTTCCCCACCGATGAAATGGGGGATAACCTAGAAGGATTTTTATAGCAGGCGTACCATATCTGAAAAGGATGCAGCAGAGCCTTCACCTTGAAGACTCTTGGTAGCTAGTGCACAAGGGGCTTGGCGGGCAGCCATGGGTCTCGATGTCTTCACGCTCCAACCCAGCCATCATCAAACGGTGCTTGGGTAAGAATGGTGGTAGGATTCAGCCTAGCCCCCAGCTTCATTTTATCACCAGGGCAGGTACTTTTGTCAGGGTATCTTGTTGATACACAAAAGCCCACTGATGTCACATTCCTGAGATGTACAAAACAAGCAAGCACACTAGAAAAGTAAGCTAGCTCCTTGAAGATCTTTCTAGCAGGGATGACGTTCTGGAGCCAGACTGCCTGGGTTGACACCCAAGCTCTGTCGTTTACTAGTTGTGTGACTGAGGCAAAATTACTTAATTCTCTAACTCCAACTGCCTTGCTTGTCACACAAAGATAACAGTACCTACTTCATAGGGTAGCTGTGAGGATTGAATGAGTTAATTTCATGGAAAAGGCTTACATCACTGCCGGGCACAAATCAAGGGCATTAAACCAAAAGCCAAACATGCTTGAATTCAAACTCCAGCACCACCTGAGTAATTCATAATCTTGCTATTATTTTT